CCTTAGTCACAATTTTTATAAGCATTTAAAGTTCAAAAATTGACAAAATATGGAAAAATCACGAAAATTAGCAAATTATTTTGAGTTAAAAATTCGTAAAAATTTTTCTTTTTAAATCTAAGATTTGAAAATCTAATACAAGATTACTCATAAGATTGTCTACCCTTATCAATAAAAAAATTTCTACCGGAAAGTCAAATTAAATTTTTATGAGCGTTTGAAATTCAAATTTTTACAACATTGGATATTCACTCGATTTCTCATGTGGCAATTTCCTTTTTTTGTTGTAATTAAAAAACGAATTACTTTAGATACATGAAAATTTCACTGAATGTTTATATTAGCATTTCCTATACACCCTACAATTTTGAAAATATTTTGACACTTTTTAAGCCGTTTACGGACATTTTCAGTTTTCAATTTTTTTAGTTTTTTTTTTCTATAAATATCAATTAAGTTTTATCTGTTGGGCAAAAAAGTGTAAAAATTTAATACAAGGCTCCTGATATATTGTTACAATATCAGTTGAAAAATATTAAAAATACATAGGCACAATTTTTTTTTATAAGCATTTAAACATCGAATTTTGACAGAATTTTTCAAAATCTCGAAATTTATTAATCATCGTAATTAATAAATTATAAAATGTTCAGTTTTTATAGCTAAGGATTGAAAATTTAAAACAAGATTCCACGTAAGTAGTTAATTCTCTTACCGAAAAATCTAAAAAATATACAATCACAGTTTATTTTTATAGTCATTTTATGTTCAAATTTGGACGAAATTACATATTAAAAAACCTAGTTATTTTGTTGTGATTATATAATATTATTCGTTGGTACCTACTACCTACTTGAAACTTCTAAAGTGTACATATATATATATATATATGATAGTATCAGGGTTTGTTGTTGGTGTATAACGTGTTATAAGTACAGTACCTAATGGATATTGTGATAATGTGATATGATTAATTTGGAATTTATTATAGGTCAATTTTTTTTTAATACCATAGATATGTATATAATTTGTCTTAAACCTAGACTGACATACCGTCTTCGCTCAGAATCGTTTTTCTTATACAATGATATTGTATCATTGAATTCAAATTTAATAGCATCAATTATACAGTGACCCACTTGTAACCTGCTGTACAGCAGAGCGACATCCACTTTTTTTATATTGTATATATATAGGTATAGTAACCGTCCGACTTCGCTGACTTATATACTACATGTATTAGAATTACCTATATTTGTATAATATTATTATGTACCCACAAACGGTTATTGGCCGACACCGACGCCCTTCAGGTCGTAAATACGATGTCGTGTTTTCATCTTACCTATCTATATTAATTTTAAAATTGGTACCGCATATAATACAACTGAACAGATGATATTATTATCTTCGGGCCATAAGTGTGACTAGACTTCATCGGCAGGGGCAGCCTAGCTAATAACCGACGCTACCTTATTAGTGAACTAAAAAAGCTCTATACACCCAAAGCCGTATTTTTTTTAACTCCCCCCTCCACAATGAAATATTTATATAATTTTAAAAAAGTCTAAATTATCTACTTACAATAATAATCTACAGTAACCTCAGAAATATGATTCATCTACCTCACCACCTAACTGCAAATCAAAAATAATATCAATTATAATTAGATGCGTACTATACCGTCGTCGTCTGTTTCAAGTCTTTATAGTAGGTTTTTCCGATTTCGGAAGTCAGATAATCAATCTTTGTAAGTAAATGGTAATTTTAACGACACCCACAAAAAAGTCATGTTTTAAAAAAAAACAAATGTTGTAACCCTTCTGACTTAAAACTCGGTTGACTTTCAAAAATTGAAGGGGCAGTCCAGGCACCCTATAGGCTGCCACCTTAGACACGCCTATGCTTCGGGTCGTTTACTTACACAGAATATATAATATTATAATATACGACAATAACATTACCATGGTAAATAGCAGTGCTCGTTTTATTATACTTTTTGTTTGATACTGTATATAATATGTATTAACAGGTCGGCGGCAATGTCACCGACTTGTAAAATATATGCAATAGAATTATATTTGTATTCCTAATATTATTATGTACCTACTATGTAGTTATCGACCGAATCCGACGCCCTGTAAATCGTAATTAATATAATTTCGTATTTTCTTTGTACTTACCTATATATTATATTATATATAAATATATTTAAAATTGGTACCGCATAATACAATTGAACAGACGATATTATCTTCGGGTCGTTTACTTACACAGAATGTATAATATAATATATGTCATGGACGAGGGTGCATGGACGATGGCAAATTACAGAAAGCGTTTTATTATGCTTTTTTAGATTCTGAGTGGAACGATGAATGTGTTTTTTTTAGATTCTGAGTGAAACGATGAATGTATTGATTTTACAATGGTGTGTTTTTTTTTTGTGTCTGTGTACACGATAAGTAGTCGAAATAATGCTTCGATTTTCGACTTCAGTATCTTGTTCGATTGGAAAGTGAATATCGTTGGTGCATTGGGGAGGTCAAAATTTAAAAATCCCCATAGTTTTCACAAGCGCCGGGAAAAACAACATAAAAATTAAGGAAAAACGGAAATTTTTACGCAAAACCGGTTTTTGACAAAATCGAATTTGGTTTTTGGTGTAATTTAAAAACAAATGACTGTAGGAACATGACATTTTGATTGGTTGTTTATATTTGCCTTTTCTATACACGATAACATTTTCAAAATATTTTGATTTATTTTGAACTGTTTAGGGACATTTTCATCTTTCATTTTTTTTTAGTTTTTTTTTCTAGAAATATCAATAAAATTTTATTTGTTGGTTAAAAAAACTTGGAAATTTAATAGAAGGCTCCTAGTATATTTTTTCAAAGGCAGATGAAAAATATTAAAATCGTTAGTCACAGTTTTTTTTTTATAAGCATTTAAAGTTCAAAAATTGACAAAATATGGAAAAATCACGAAAATTAGCAAATTATTTTGAGTTAAGAATTCGTAAACATTTTTTTTTTTAAATCCAAGATTTGAAAATGTAATGCAAGATTACTCATAAGTTTGTCTACCTTTATCAATAAAAAAATCTCTACCGGACAGTCAAATTAAATTTTTATGAGCTTTTGAAATTCAAATTTTTACAACATTGGATGTTCACTCGATTTCTCATGTAACGATTTCCTTATTTTGTTGTAATTCAAAAACGAATAACTGTAGGTACATAAAAATTTCACTGAATGTTCAGATTAACATTTCCTATACACTGTACAATTTTGAAAATATTTTGACTCTTTTTGAGCTGTTTACGGACATTATCAGTTTTCAATTTTTTTAGTTTTTTTTCTATTTACATCAATAAAGTTTTATCTGTTAGGCCAAAGAGTGTAAAAATTTAATACAAGGCTCCTGATATATTGTTACAATATCAGTTGAAAAATATTTCAAATACATAGACACAATTTTTTTTATAAGAATTTAAAGTTCGAATTTTGACAAAATTTAATAATTATTTCGTATTTAATAATTTATAAAAAATTCAACTTTTATATCTGAGGATAGAAGATTTAAAACAAGATTCCACTTAAGTAGTTAATTTTGTTACCAAAAAATCTAAAAAATACACAAGCACAGTTTATTTTTATAGTCATTTTAAGTTCAAATATACATAATAAAAAACCTAGAATAACTATTTTAGTTTTTTTTGTGATTGTATAATATCATTCGTAGGTACTTGAAACTTCTAAATTACACTATTATATACCTATGATAGTATCACGGTTTTTTATTGATGTTTAACACGTTATAATAGTACCTATTGGATTTTGTGATATGATTAATTTGGAATTTATTATAGGTATCTTTTATATTCCAATTTTTTAATATAATAGATAAGTATATAATATATCTTATACCTAGACTGACATACTGTCTCCGATCAGAATCGTTTTTCTTATACAATGATATTATATCATTGAATTCAAATTTAATACCATCCATTACATAGTGTACAGTAGAGTGACTTTTTTTAAATTGGATGTATACCTACTGTATATGATAGAAACTGAAAGTAGGGAATTATGATAAAATTAAATTTCTGCAGCTTGTGACTTTTTAGGTGTCGTTTTTGTTACTAGATGTGCGTGAGTGCTGTAAATTGACCAGAAACATATTTATCTTAAAAACAATTTATCGTAATTTTATTAATTTTTTTTACAGGTATATTATTATTTACTCAAAAAAATTTTGTGCGGCCCCTCTAATCAAATGCAATCAAAAATACCTTTCCAGAATTGCAATGTGATATCGTTTTTATCAACTGATAATAAATACCAATACAATAATTATTATTAGACAATCATATTATTTTCTATTTACACTGTATAATATTATGAACAGTCAAAATACCTCTTCAAAAATATCTCCGGTCTAAATAAGTGATAGTCAAAAGTAAATAAATTTAAATGTTTTGACTTTTGAATATAAAAAATATAGGAAATGTTGTGTTGATTTTGATACATTAATTAAAATAATTATTAATTTTATTATAAATAACTAAAAATGCATAATATGTACCGATATAGAACAATAGTTCCATTTTTACTTTGTATTGTTATTATTTGAAAGAACTAAATTTGTCAAGAATACAACAATAGAAATAACAATCGTATTTACTAATGACAATATGGCTCTAAGAAATTGTATGAAGTTGATTACCAGACACCGGTTGTACATAATTATGACCATAGGGAATTGCACAGGGGTGAAGGTTGTACTCGGGTACTTCACCAAAAATGACAATGGCCCTAATTATTATTTAAGTGTAAATTATTGACGAATTTTGGTTAGGTTGACATGTTGAGTCGTCTCTGATAGTTCTTCTTTAACTCTGAAAACCAATTCAGTGATATAAGCATTTTTCCAAATATTAAACAGAATAATTTCTACTTGAAAGATACTAACCGCTGTACATTGACCACTTCTTAATGTTCATCTGATTTTTCGGTGATCCACAAGTGACGTTTTATGTGACTAATGGAGTCTTCCAACCGGCACACTAACGAGTTGCTTGGTTTTGCAGAGTCCTGAAGATCACCAGGAAAAGACTCGTCATTAAAAGGGAAAATTGTTATTGCATTATTGTATAAAGATGATATATGTTTTTTGTAAGCCCTCATCGTCGATATCGTTGCATTGTATGCCAATTGTCTGTGAAAAAAATATAATGAAAAATATTGTATACAAATTATTATCAAGTCGTATTTATGATATGTTAGGATATGTTATGTTAGACTCACTCATCAAAGTAGTTGATAACTAATTGATATTGCAGGAGCATATCTGACCAATGTTTGAGCGGTGTTCTTGCTTTCTTCATATTTTTATTAACATAGAAAAATACTCGACGGATGGTTCCTAGGTAGTTTTGCACTTTACTAGGTTTATATTTATCCTTTATCGCATCCCGGAAAAGGACAATTAATATGTGGTCTTCGGCTAATTTCTCTCGAAGCCCAGCCATTTTCAGCACACTTAAGGTTTGACTACGTCCCGAATTCAATCTTAAATTTATAATAATATCGATTAAATATATTAGATATTACATCTAACTTATGTGTTTAAAATTAAAATGACTGTGTGTGTGGAAGCTTCTACGTTGAAACCTAAGCATGGTATATGATAGTACAATAGTGGATATAATTGTATGTAATTGTACTTAAATATTTGATGAGACGAAAAATTGGGTTAACAATTTACAAAATTTAAGAAAATGTAGGAAATTAATGAAAACTTACGGTTTGGTTGAGATAATTTGATCATTGACGAATGGTATCTGTGCATCTAACCGTTGAGTTTGCACACTGGAGTGTATATACCGTTCTGTTACAACTGGTGGTTCCCTTAAAATATTAGCAACAATGAGTTCAGGTTCATCGACATTCAGAGACACAGAGTTTTCAGGTGTAAGCTGTGATGATATATGGTCTATAGGATCCACTAAACCAGGTATGTCCCATATAGTGTACTCAGAGTTTCCGGGTGTAAGGTGTGATGTTACAAGGTCTGTAGGATCTACTTCACCAGGTATGTCCCACTCACCGTTCCACGGCATAAGTTGACCAAGATTGCACATTCTAAAAAAAAATGAGACGGTAATTGACTCTATTCATAATAAATTTGTGATGATGATTTGGATTTTATAATCGACAGACAGTTTTAATAACTTCAATTCGACAAGTATTTTTTATGTTTTGAATTTCTAAAATTTTTAATTTTCAGAGCTAACGTATGAAAATTGAACACAATCTTTACAATAGACTTGCACAACTTGTGTACACAAAATATTAGAAATACATGGAATATATTTAATTTTGTAAGTATTTTAATTGCAACAAATATTTTTTTTTCACATATTTAAATACTAAAATATCATATCATGGTTTATTATTTTGGCTTACCAATGCTCCATTGTGATTAAAGAATACACCGTTTATTTTGTATATATGCATAAATTAATATATTCATAAAAGTTGTCTGATGAGACGATAGACATTTGAATATTTATAAATATATCTGTACGACATTCATCGATAAATCGACAAATGGTGATGAGTTGTTTGATTAGAATGATTTCAAGGCTTAATTATCTACATGGCTACCTTCATCTAGTAAATGTCTATAAGGTGAGATGAATTTATTGTCTGAGAAACTATTTTTCAAATTAATATCCATAAAAATGTTTTAATATGGTTGAATAATTTCTTTTTTTCTAAAATTATATTTTTCAGACAACACCACCTCTCAAAATATCTGTCCAAGAACATCAATACTTGGTTTTTCATAATCACCTGGGCTGAGTAACTATATTCTAGATGGTTGAACCATGGCAAAATGTAAATTATATTTATAATAATCAATAAATTATTAAATACAAAAAAATACCATACGTTTGACATCCGTTGATGATTTAAAAACAGTTTATAGCTTCAAATATTCAGTATTCACAACTAAGATATGAAAATTCAACAAAAGATTCACTATACAGTGATACAATTTAGGGTATAAGAATATTAGAAATACGTTTTATTATAATAATTTCAATATTCGAATTTTGACTTTATTTATCAGATAAAAAATTTAAAAAAACAATAATTGTCAAATATAATAAAATATAAATTATTTATATTTTATTATATTTGATATTCATAATTAAGGAATGTAAATTGAAAAAGATATCCACTGTATATACAATATTAAGTTTCTATATTCACAATAGTACTGACAATACATTTTTTAACATTTTCAGTTGAATATATCTGTACGACATTCATCGAAAAATCAACAAATAGTGATGAGTTGTTTGATTGGAATCATTTTAAGACTTAATTAAATACATGGCTACCTTCAGCTAGTAAATGTCTATAAGATGAGATGAATCTATTGTCTGAGAAACTATTTTTTAAATTAATTTCCATAAAAGTGCTTTAGTAGGGTTGAATATTTTCATTTTTTTCTAAAATTATATTGTTTAGACAACACCACCTCACAAAATATCTGTCCAAGAACATCAATACTTGGTTTTTCATAATTACCTGGGCTGAGTAACTATATTCTAGATGGTTGAACCATGGCAAAATGTAAATTAAATTTATAATAATCAATAAATTATCAAATAAATTTTTTATTCATATATTTAAATACTAAAATATTGTATCATGGTTTATTATTTTAGCTTATCAATGCTCCGTTGTGAATAATGAATACAACGTTCATTTTGTATATATGCATAAGATAATATATTCATAAAAGTTGTCTGATGAGACGGTAGACATTTGAATATCGAAAAACATGTCGTCTTACGTCCATTCGAGAAGTGTTTATTATGTTTTGAATTTCTAAAATTTTAAATTTCCAGAGCTAACGTATGAAAATTGAACACAATCGTTACAATAGACTTGTACAACTTGTGTATACAAAAATTAGAAATACATTGAAACGATTTTATTTAATAAGTATTTCAAATTTTAATTTAGAAAATTTTTAAATTAAAATATAGTTTGAAATTTGCTTAAATCGATTTTATTCAAGTAGGTACTCACTTATATGCTATTGTCCGTGCGTCAATTGAAGACCATAATGTACCAAAAATTTTTTTGATATCCATCATCCTAATCAACTTGACACCTTTACTTGAGAATTTCGACTGAACTGCTATCAAAGCCTTAGCTGAATCGTTGCTCACCAAATTAATATGACGTTTTTCGATGTGGCGTAACATGTGTGAATATGTCGAAAAATCGCATAGTGGACAGTGTTTGATGGGCTATGAAAAGTTATAAAGGCATATTTATAATATAATATGATCATGAAATTAAAGGAAAATATGTACTTACCTTCGTCTGAATATGTTTATTTATTGGTAGCTTAGGTTCAGTGCGAGTACGCTTAGTTTTTTTGATTCTTGGACTTGAAGACATTGTTTTAAAGTAAGAATTAGAAATGTACTGTTAATACGTTAATGCGTTAGCAAAAAATGCTTTGATGCGTTGGCAAAAATGTGTTGAAGCGTTGTTAAAAATGCTTTGTGCGTTGGCAAACGTACGGAACGCAATGACGGAGGATAGGGACGTTCCGATACTACCGATACCAGTAAAGTATCGATACTTTTCTTTCGATACAAGTACTTTTTGTATCGATACCATGGGTTCGATACTTTACTCATATCGATAAAAAAGTACTGGTATCGAATGAATCAATGGTATCGAATCATTTTACCGCCATATAAGTTCAAAAGTACTTGAATAGTCGAATGTTATCGAAAAATTCTTTTCGAGTACAATGATTTGCGCGTGGTGACCGGTGGGTTTTTTCACACAATATCAATATGAGTATATCAGTATATGACTATGGACTATCTAGATATTTAAATACTAATACTAGTAGGTATTTAAATAAAATAGTATTAAAAATTCCTCCGGGAGGAACAATGTACAGTGTAATATTACCTTGTGGCGTGGCATTGTTTTGCACTAATCTGAGGGGGAGGGAGTTTCAGCTGTGAACAAGGCTGACGCACCGCGATTCTCGTCGTTTCTAGATTTTTCTAGAAGCCCCCCTCCCTTTCCAAAAATTCAATTTACACGAACCGATCGTTATTCATCGAGTTTTTGACTTAGACATCTAAAAAAGACACTAGTGCATTCGTCAGGCGAACACCATCGATCTGAAGGTCTTTTGAATACAATAAAACCAAATCATAAACGTCAGATATCAAAGTATTGTAGGTATTTACCGGAAAATTTGAATTAAAAAAATTGTTATTATTCGAATTTTGTACTTAGACTTCTAAAAACTACACCAGTGAATTCGTCAGAGCGAACACTATCGACCAGTAATTCTTTTGAATACAATATAAAACCTAATTATAGACGTCAGATACCTAAGTATAGGATTTATCGGCAAATCGCAGTTGAACATTTACTTTTTGCTGGCTTTTGTGGTGCACGAAGTTGAGAGGGAGGGGGCTGAGCCGTTCATATCGTTAACGCTCCGCGCGTACCACCACCACGTCACACTTCTCGTCATTTCTAGATTATTCTAGAAGCCCCCCTATGTCAAAAAATCCAGATTTACACGAATCGATCGTTATTCATCGAGTTTTTGACTTAGACATCTAAAAAAGACACGAGTGCATTCGTCAGGCGAACACCATCGATCTGAAATTCTTTTAAATACGATAAAGTAATATGTATATATTTATATATATTTTTTTAATGGGATAAATCAAAATTCACGAGTAAAATTTGAAGGTAAATCCTATTGTTAGGTAGGTACCTCTCAGGGGCGTACCCAAGGGGGGGGGGTCGGGTCCGGACCCCCCATTGAGATATCTACATTTACATTTACAAATTATAGTACCTACCTATTGTTATAAACCTTTCTGTATATGTACTGTGAGTGTGTGTATAACTATTGACTATTGTAACTATATTATAGTTATTAACAGTAATATTTTGTTAATGAATTAAACTATAATTATAATTAGAGAACAGATAAAATAAAAATGTTGGACCCCCCCATAAAAAAAATCCCGGGTACGCCTCTGGTACCTCTGGTACATAATTTTCTGTTATTGTATTCAAAAGCCCTACGGATCAATAGTGTTCGCTCTGACGAATGCACTTGTGTCTTGTTAAGATGTCTAAGTAGGTACAAAATTCGTGTTATAACGATTTTTATAATGCGATAAATCAAAATTCACTCTCCAATTGGCATCATTCGTGGTAAGGCAGGTGTAAGTGGCGTTGGAGTTCAGTGCGTGTTATATACCTCCGTACATAATAAATGAATTGATCGGCGCGTGGACCCAGGTGTCCTTGAGGTAGTTGTCACGTACATTAGCCCGGCCCCCCCCCCCCATTTCGACTTTCTAAATTTTTTTTGTGCCAATAATTAGTACTCAATTCCTACTGATTCCTGACCACGTTTTCATAATTCCTACTCTGACAGTTTTCCCGGAAAGTCGAATTTTCTACGGGTGGGGCTGGGGTAATACTAATTAATGGCGCAAAAAAAAATTGCAAAAAGTTAAATTTGGAAGGTGGGTGGGGCTGGGGTAACGTTACCCCAGCCCCACCCGTAGAAAATTCGACTTTCCGGGAAAACTGTCAGAGCAGGAATTATGAAAACGTGGTCAGGAATCAGCAGGAATTGAGTACTAATTATTGGCACAAAAAATATTTCGAAAATCCAAAGGGTTGGGGGGCGGGGTAATGTACGTGTAGTTGTCGCTGTTTTGGAAGCGGCTTTAACTCTCAGAGAAACAACTTTTACAACATCTACGAGACCACATTTCATGGAGAGTGGTTCCTGTCGTGGATTATAATTATGTAGGTACTTATACATAAAAGGATTATTTACTCGTGTAATGAATGCGTAATCCTTTATAGTATACGCCGTATTATACCCCCCGTATACCATAAAAAACACCACTTGACTCTACCCATGTTATCAAACATGTTAAAAATAAATTTTAATACCTTCTACCTATACCTGTTGCACGTAAAATATACATATAATATATAAATATATAATTTTATTATTATTAAAATGAATAATTACAATAATAATTACAAACCATAGTATTTAAAAATGTCATTGTGTGTAAACAATATAATTATAAACTCTAAGGGCCGATTTCACCAACACAGTTAATCATGATTAAAGTTAACTGGAGTTTTAATCGGCCGAATTTGGCCGGTTAAATATCTGTTATCAGCCGATTAAGCGTTAACCGTGATTAACTGTATTGGTGAAATCGGCCCTAAATGTTTCAATATTGTAAACACTGATAATATTTTAAAATTATAAAAATTAACTTTCATGATAATAAGATCATGATTAAATCAAATTTTGAAGTTGGGTCATTGGACCCCCCCTTATATTATGCCGTCCCGTCTTGTATACGTGTATCCCCTATTACCTATTGTATAAATTATTACAGATTGTATAGTATATTCTTGTTTTCTAATAAAAATTAAAAAAAAAAAAAAGGCAGGTAAGTGGATGTCGCTCAGCTGTACAGTAGGTTACAAGTTGGTCATTGTTTAATGGATTGTATTAAACTTGAATTCAATGATATAATATCATTGTATAAGAAAAACGATTCTGAACGGAGACGGTTTGTCAGTCTGTATATTTTATATTTTCATTAATTATTTTATTTATTTAATTATTATTTTTTTTATTCGTTGCTACGGTGATAAACAAATTGTTAGAAATTAAAATCCCATTTTAAGCGGTTTTTCGTAATTTTTCAGTACTTTTTCCCGTGGCATTAAATAACTATTGAGAAAATCGAAAAATGACCTCTCTAAAGTACCATCTTGGTCCAATTTGCTAAAAGATAAGGTACTATATGTTGAAATCAAAGCATTCCTTCTGGTAGAAATTTTGTATACAGGATATAAAAAAATAAAAAAAAATAAAAAAAAAATAAACAACATTGTAAAACCACTAGCTTCCTTGCTCCGCTCAGAATCTAAAATAATCATGATCAAATGTTTAATTATCTAATTTCGTCAAAATGTTTTCTTATCGTGGTTACATAACCGCTGACCCGGTACCTATCACCATGGCACCCAAAATAGTGTGTATTATTTATATTATATTTTTTGTATCAATAAACGCAACACCGAAATGTATCCCGGAAAATAAACCAAGGGATGTCAGGTTCTCCTGGACACACAACTCGCAAATATTATAGGAACGATCGTCGGTGGGGGGTACCCACCGCATGAACTTTTGTACTTTGTACTTACTTGTTATGTTGCAGTTTTATAATTTCATTAAATAATTTATGAAATTTCTTATAGTTACGACGTACTTGGATTATAAACACGTGACATTCATAACCTGACAACGTGTTTTTGTTTATACAATATCATGACTCGCGTTCGATATCTTTAATAATATTTTTCCACCGCCCCTACGTACTATTGCCGATGCCGAAAATGGACAGTGGCAAAAACGTCGATGCCAACGGTCGGCGGCTGACCAAGTTAGCACAAAAGCTCGCAGTTATGATCATGCAGTCCTTCATCACGGCGGTGTTCGTGTTCGTCCTGCTGACGTTCTTTTATTACCTGCACTTGAGGTGCAAGTCCACTGCGTCGGCGGCGGTGAGCCGGATTGCTGGTAACTTCTCGTACTACGACGACACCGACGGTTCGGGGTTTCGAGCCTCGGAGCAGATCGTCAACGTCAATCCCAGTGACTTCTGTTCGTTCGTGTCCAGGGACCTATACTCTCTGGAACAGATGGGCTACGTGGACGAGACCCGCCGCGTGTCCAAGCTGCTGTCCCTGGACCTCGGCGGCTCACAGGACGTGTATTACGTATTTGTCAACACCACGCACGTGCCGTGGACGGTCGCATGTTCGCTAGAGTCAGCTCTGGGCGCTGTTGGCAATGTCGGCCGCGTAAATGTGTTCGTTGTCAGTGGAATGGAATTCGTTCGAATCGATAACAGATGTGGCCTGACGCCGGTGAGTGATTTCTCAATATAATCATATGGCATTAATATTATTCAGTATAGGAGGGATTTAAGTTCCCAAAAAACTATAAAAAAAAAACCAAAAATTCTTTTTCTATGCAATAATGACGATAAAAACTACCTGCCAACATTTCTTTATAGGTACCTACTAAAATATGCAGGAAAACGATGATTTAACTTTCGGCACTTATAACAGATTATTAAAATTACCAACAAAACTAACTACAATAGGTACTAAAACAAAATACTAAACACGACGTACAATAAATAAACAATTAACATTATACTGGAAATAAATGAGATCGCGAATGGTTGTATTTCTAACTGAACAATTAGTTGTTATTTGTTTGAGTTCTGGTAAGACACCATATCATCCGATAATCGCTGGGGATATACTCATCGTATATACTACCTACTAGAAGCATCGAATGTTTTAAAATATTTTGATACCACCCAAAAATAAGTATTAGGTACCTGTAGGTATAGTTCAATAGTTGCGACTTGTTGATTAAGTAGGTATTGGAATTAAAAACAATAAAATAATAATTTAGAATAACATAAACTAGCTCCAGATCAACTGAAATTCAACAACCAATTTTAGGTAATGTCTAATGTACAAATTTAAACCTGAGTTGTACAATTTTAAATAAGGTAGGTAGGTATATTATATTATATGATGAATAATGTATAATAATATATAGATGATTTGGTATCTCAAAAACCAAATTTTCATCCACAGAAACACGGACTGATCATTCCAGGAAGATAAATTTGAACTTGAAATATATATTTTTTTTTTACACAATACATACAATCTATACTTTAGAGTTTAGGGATACAAATACAATTTAAACATATCGGATGAAAGATAGTAGGATACGTTATATATTTAATACAACGTGAACTATATTTAAAATGTTAATGTCAACATTTATTTTGACTAAATTAGGTTAATAAATACATTTCTATATTATACCTATGTTTTACTTTTTTTACAATTTTCATTTTTTCTATTAATTGCTTTACTTCCAAATCACTTTAAACATGCACCACATGTACAACGAATGATGACAAAAACTGAATGTTCATGAATACAATTTTGCATTTATTCTTTTAATCCCATATACTTGGTCATTATTTTTGTACTCTTTTAGGTCATCAACATCCTATGATTCCTATCAGTCATAAATTACAATAATTTATTAATACTATTATAGATTCTTAACGACCTGACGAACAAGTACGGAAACCACCGGTTGAACGTGATGCACGTCAACCTTGACGATATGCTGGAGTTTTCACCGTTCCAGTCCATGGGCCTCAACAAACGTCCCGCTCTCGCCAAGTTCACGGTGGAGCTGGTGCTGCTCTGGCAGTTCGGCGGCACTGTGCTGGACGGCGACATGGTGGCGATCCGAGGGTCCGTGTACCGTGCAAACGACACCGCTGTCGAGTACGGCGACTTGACAGTCAGCTCGCCGGCCACCTGTCACCCTTTCGTGTACGACGCCATGGTGTGCACCAAGAGCTACGCTCTGCTTTACAGACCGTTCATGGCTGACACCAGCCTCAAGATCTTCGAAAAGGCGGTGGAATGGTCGGGGCGCGGCGCCGGTGACGTCCGGCGTGTGGACGACAGTGTGGTGTGCCGGGACGGCGTGGTCGGCGCCCAATGCTATTACGTACAACGAGCCGACGTCGACTTCATACACCGCTTCTGCCCAACAGTCTAAAATGTATGCTCCGAAATGCATTAAATATTCTAACCATAAAATCAAGAGCAACTATTTAAATAAGTATTTTAACTAAATTAATAAATAGGGTCTTGAATTCGTTCGAATGCGTAGTCTTTCGGATGACCTGTTATGTAATGTATTTTTTTTAAACTAATTTTTTCTAGATCAGAGGACTTGTACATCATAGAAATATTGTTACCAAAACAATGGAAGATACGTGAACGATGAACGACAGCTGATAAAGAAAAATAGAATAATCATATTTCTGAATTTTTCTAAACAGTGCACATGGAAAGGAAACGAACAACGGCAGAGGAATAAAAAATAATTTTTACACCGCATTATGGAAAAATAGAAATTAAAAAATGTGCATGCATAGCTTTCACTGCTATGAATATATGCTTATCTCTGGTAAAGTCGTACGTCGTGGTGGCACCGAGCTGCATCGAAAATTTGGCCTGCTCGGGATACTTGTTCTGCAGACTAAAGCCTTGGAACGGATTAAATTCAATCAAATTCCCTAAGATATTGTGTGACACGAGTTCTAGGTCTACCGTGGCCGTACAACCGATGGTCTCCGAACCCACTGTAATGAAGTATAATAATATAATATTTAATGACTAATCCCTATTTAAAAGAGCACAAAACACAAGACAAATATTTTTTAATTTGAAATAATGTTCAATTCAAAGAATAATGGTATATATTTTACGTGTCCACTCACATTATTCAATAAGTTATGAACAATTGAAAAAATACGCTTAACGTCATTTGGCCCGGCTCATCTTATAATAATTGCTTATCTTCTATGTACGTGTAAAAGTTCCTCTCTTCACACTCGATTTACCTACCTAAACATTTTATTTTTGAAATTTAGTTTAAGTATAAATGCGTGATTTTATGTATGTATGACGATAAAAATATCAGAATTTCATTATTAAGTTTAGTTTTTTAAATATTAAAATTCTTATATATTTGAATTTTTATTTTATATTTAAATGGCCATGACGCGCCGTTTAACAAAAATATAATTTTAAAGATTTATTAATAATTAAAAAATTAAAGGTTATATTGAACTTTTGATACTTTTATCGTCTCAAACATATAAAATCACACATTTATACGTAAACTAAATTTCAAAAATAACATTTTTAGATTGGTAAATTATTGTATGGAGCGAGGAACTTTAACATAAGATAAGCATTACGATGAGCCGGGCCCAATGACGTCGCTCAGCTATTCTTAATATCTCTTAAAGAAATTATTTTTTGACATCGGATTTTCACCAAATCATAGCCTTTGCAAGAATAATTAAACATTTAAAAAAAATTTAAACAACATTTTTTTGGTGTTGTGTGCTCTTTTAATATTTCATGTTCTTCAGATCACATTTTTTTAGACACGTTTGAAATAAAACTCGTCTGAATTAATTTAATTGTTCAGCAAGGGTAAATCGCAGATCTCTAAGAATTCCATACTTTTTATAAACATCATATTTCAGATTTTATAGCTGCAGACCGTTTTATAAATGTTAAGAATCGATTTCGTTTCCAAGGCACCCGATAATGTGTGTTTTTATTTATCTAATTTCTTGTACGTTTATAGTCTATAAAAAAATATGCATTTTAGATGTTCGAAGATAGGTAGTTAGAATTGTAAAATAATAATTAAAAAAATAATTCTTAGGATATCAAGATGAAAAAAAATCGGTTAAAAATGAATAACTACCATGCCAAAAACACTGAAAAGTGTCCGGACCAGATTTCTGAAGATGATGGACACCCCCCGCTGTTCAGTAGTCATACATGGACTGAATGTGCTCCGATTAGTGTAAAATAATATATGATATCGATAACTATAATATACAAAAATTAAATGCGCTCAAATTACGGTTTTATGATATTATTAAAACATATTATTATCATTGTCTTTTTAAATATTTTATATCGTTTTCTTGCAACCATGTATAGCATCGATATCATCTGATGCATCCGTCGATGTCCATTGGACGCAACTATAGACTAGGACTGGATAAGAAATTACGCGAAATCAACAAGTTCAGCGAAACGACTATGAGTATTAAGATATTAGACGAAGATCGTCATCTATTACATTGTCAGAGTCAAAAAAGCAAATCAAAAATCAAAAAACCACATAAAACGATTACCACAACTGCAGATAACAAATGTCCCGGTGTCGTGCCTCTAGCGGTAAACAAAATTAATGTACCAATTACTACTTATAGACAGGCACGGATACAAAATGGGGGGACTTAAACCCCTTTTAGACCTTAGATACTTAAAACTAAGTAATTAGATATATAATAAGGCAATAAAAGGTTACCTACTTCGTTATTAGTATTATTTAATAATATGAATGCATGATGAATGTTTTATTTATTATAAAAACTTAATATCTATGGCCTATGCTTTTATGTAGGTGGGGGGTACTCGAAGTACCTTGTTTCGTCTACCTTTTTTTAATTTTAGATCCGTGCCTGATTATAAATACTAATAACATATTAAAACATAGGTGATAAACCTTACAGCAAGGTCCTCTAGTCCTCCGGTCCTTACTTGTGATTTGTCTCTAGCCATATATTATATAACTTTGTTTTTATACAGGATTTATTGTCCGGAAAATATCACAGAGACAAAGCAGAGCGGAGGCAACAAGAAAAAATCGCAAAGAAAGTTAAAAATACTATGATAAAAGCACAGATATTACCTACAAAGTAATAATTCTATACACTGCAGAACTTTTTATTTTTATTTATCAAATAAATTGATAGCTAGTGTGATAATAACAACCTGTGCGCGTTTACATATTTTATGTTTCACATAACAGTTTTATCGGATCATCATTAAATGCTTGTAACGCAATGACTCCGGATGAACAATTGAATGTATTGAGAGCTATGCGGAAAAAACAAGAAAACGTAGAAATTGGCATGCGTAAAGAAGACATTGAAAAAATTAAGTACTATTTGAAAGAAGTGAGTTTATATTCAATATTTGACGTCACACTCCTACATTTATATTATATCATCATAAAAAGTTAAAATTATTAAAACTGTTGTATTTGATCACTTAACTCAATTATTGTATTTTATTCACCAGGGTATATCTAGTGATTTTTATAATCCGTTTCCAGAACAAGTCTTAGAAAACATAAAGGAATATCGTATTGAACCGATTCTATTAAAAAAGTAATCATACCCAACTTATAGATAATTATTAATAGCATACATTAACGCTCAGCAGATGATCACGTTTAGCTCCATTAGTTTAAAAATTAGAGTGAATCGACCTATTATGAAACTTAATAGTAAAAACATTATCTGTGTTTGTATTTGTGCTTTTTACGAAAGATACTTCAATTTCTTAGTATATTATGCGTATAAAATATAGCGTGAATTAAAAATGCTAATAACGCACTTAAAAGCTGAAGTATCGTAAATACACAGATAATGATATTACTTATTAGGTTTTACCATCAAGTTACATAATAGGTCATTTTTACGTATTTTGTCAAGATTTCAGCCTTTAAATGGGTATAAAAAAATGTTTTTTGAACTTTTTAACTTAACTAGTTAGTTTATTTTCTAATCAACTTATTAATTTGTGTAATTAACTAGTTTAATTTATAGTTGAAATAACTTAGCTTTTCTCAGTTGATTTTAAAAAAATCCATCAAGTTAAAAACATTTTGAAATTTTTCATTTATACGTAAATATTACTGTAGTATCAGTATAAAATAAAAATAATCCAATACAAAAACACAAAAATTTCCATTCTTTTTCTTGATAACATAATTTTGTGTATATTTATATGTCTTATTAAGTTGTAAATTATATATTATATTATTATGTTAGTAATAAATGAAATAATAAATGTTTTTAATACAATTTATAATTTTAAATTACAAATTGAGAGTTGTTATGTTTCAATGTTATATAACTTCTAATATATACTGGGTGATTCTTTTATGAAACAACACTCATTATTTCAAAAAGTGTAAATTTTTTTGAAGATATTTTTTTACATGGTTTCAAGTCGCTTATAAAACAAAGTTTTTATTAAAAAATTATATTTTTAATTATTTTTATCCTTATAATTTTTTAAGTTTTTTACTTTTTTGAATGACAACATAGGGTTTTAATTTTATATTCTAAAGTAGAATATTTTTCGTAATATTTTAATATTTTCGCTCAGAATAGTTTTTTTTTTTATTTAGAATTTGCTTACAGTTTTTAATGCTTTTGACGTCATCATCATCTTATGGGTTTTTAATAACATTTTTCGAAATTATCTGAATAAGATATTGTCAATTCTAACCAAGCACCCCAACATATTATTATAGTTTTAGCACTTTTAGGCGGTTATGGTTTATAAAGTAACATTTCATGATATATTTGAAAATTTTAAAAGGAGCCTTCAAAAATATCTTTTTTCGTACCTAGTTAATTAAATCATTTTAAAAATATCCATAATCTTTTCTGCGATTCGATGAATCTCATGAACACCACAAATCACATGAATAAGATTTGAACAAAATGGTTTTAAATTGTTGGCAGCTTTAAACATATATGAGACCGCATCCGATAACATTAACAAAACGTTTTCGTCATTACCTCCTTCTGGCCATTTACAAATTTTGCTATGGTATTATTATTTGTTTTTTTTTCAAGAACTTTCGATACGATTTTGATGGTGAATTGACATTTCATTTTAAAACAATAGAGCTTGTAACATATTTGTCTCGTGGGTCAGTAGTTTAAATCGATACAAAAATATATGAATGAATTTCTTACGTTTTCTCGTATTTTTTTTAAAACATCTGTGTAACATTTGACTACATAATATTCTTTCTTAATTAAGTTACATCAGGTATATTTTGTAGATGAGTATATTTTTCCAAAAAAGATCTGAAATTGTTATTTTGTACAATTTATGCAGTTATATTTGTTAGATGCAATCAAAGCTGAACAAAGTTCT